CTCTCAATCCATAGTACATTGTTTATGCAGCAGTATACAATACCAACTGAAAAAGCACAGTTTAAGCTCTCACTTCTTTACTACCTATGTTACAGTTAACTTCTATTTTTGTCCACAACAATCCCTAACAAGAGGATCCTGCTCCAGAACTATGTGTAAGAGCATAGACTGCTGAAGAGCTTAGTCTTGGCTGCCAAAAGCCTATTTCAAATCCTGGCTTTTCTACTCATGGTCTGGTAAAATAGGCAGGGGACCTGACTTGTTTCATCATCTGTAAAATGGGGATAATGGTAATTCCTATCTTTAGGGTTACAAGAACACTACTCAGTAACATGATAACAACGTAGAACAGTTCCTGAATGTGGTAGGTCACTAAACACTATTGGGAAACTGAGGCTTATCAGCAAGACTTCATCTGGAAAGCACAGCTCTACAGCAGAATCTACTGATAAGAGACAGAATTGCTACTGGCAAAGAACAGCTGGACTATTATGCTACAGAAACTGCCGGGTTTCTGGGCTGGAAAATTTTACTTGTTGATAAATGGACTGGGATATCAGACACATAAGACCTAGATGAACACATACCTAATAAAGCTGATGGGGGTGCAGAATTGGGATTTTTGTGTAGCTTCTTTCACTGTTTCACTTTCAGCACTATAATCATGCTTGACATGATTTTTATTCAATAAATTCTGCTTAATAAATGAATGGTCAAAGGAAAGTATCTGGAGCTTGGCTATAAAAGGAACTAGGCATTTGATAGAATAGATTTAGACAAGGAAAGACCTGCATCAGATCCTTATTATTAGGGCCCATTCAGTTACTAAATTAAAAAACATTCTTTTTTCACTAATACTGGAAGGTACTTTCTAAAAGCAAAATTTTAAGACATGGAAGAATCAACTGCAAATACAACCAGAGATATGCTACCTTGAATTAAAAATCATAATGGTTAACTTATGTTACAATTAAATTTTTAGTGGAGAAACTTAAAAAAATAGGAAAATAAACATTGTGAAACCTCAAAGAGAAGAGTTAATTAAGTTCACATTTTTTTTAATAGGTAAAAATCCAACCTGATGTCTTGGAATTTCTATCAATTATATAGTGAAGCTTTCGGAGAAGTAATTTAAGGAATAAGAAATAAATTAGCTCTTTGGGTTGAAGAAATACATTGTAACTTATCAAATCTAAAGGCAAATTTTCTGAGAATCTGTGGCAAATTTAACTATGTCCTCTTTAAAGTGGAAACATTTTGCAAGTTAAAAGTATGAAATTCGGCACCTAAATAAATCATAGCAACAAAAATTTCTTTGGGATTCAATAACAGAAATACAATTAAAATCAATTTCTTCATGGAATACAATGAATTAGATGCTCAAAACAAAGTACACAACTGAAACATCACTTCTTTAAAAAACATACAAGAAGTATGAAACAATTTTCAAATAGATGATGCAGGAAGAACTTGAAGCGCAAACTAAAACGTATAATCCATAAAACCTTAAAAAGGAAGGGCGTGGCCCAAAAATGGATGACTGGATTAAAAAGATGTGGTGCATATACACAATGGAATATTACTCAACAACCAAAAAAAAGAAACACATCTCTTTTGCAGCAACAAAGATCATGCTTACTGATATAAGCCAGAAACAAAAGGAAAAATACCGGATATTTTCTCTCATAGCAGGAGTATAACAGAACAGGCAAGAAAATAATGATAATGATGAACAGCTGTAGACCAGAGACATTTTGTGGGGGTGTACTGGGGAATGGGATCAAAAACAGTAGAGGGAGGGAAATGCACTGGACTACGGTGATGGCACATGGGTGACTTGGTGATGGGAAACCCAAGGGGACTGCAA